GGGGGGGGGGGGGGGGGGGGGGGGGGGGGTGTTGGTTGGTAGTTGCATAGATACAGCTCAGAGGGCGCGACTGATGCCAGGATAATGGGAGGGAATGAGGTTGACAGGTCATACTGGTACTCATGCTTAGGTGAAGCCGAGGGCAAATAAGTTCGGCAGGATTTACTGAAGCTTATGCTTAGGTTAAGCGAGGGCAAATAAGTCCAATTGGATTACACAAGAACTGCAGACAATTCCAAAGTGTTACCTCTTACAGCCTGCAACTGTGCATAACAGTTATACTTTTGTTTTTTGTCTTCAAAATCTCACAGGAGCAAAGGCTGACTTCATCCCCAGGCATCAATTCTACCTGTTTTTGCCTACTTCATGGAACTTATTAGCTCTCAGTTTTACCTAACCATCAGTTTCATAAATAGGAAAGTCTGATGACGGGTTTTCGTGGATCGGGTTTACCTAAGCATCATTTTTATAAAAAAGGAAGTCTGATGGCCGATTTTTGTGAAACAACTTTACCTAAGCATCAATTTAATAAATAAAGAAGCCTGATGGCTGGTTTTTGTGGAATAGCTTTACCTAAGCATCAGTTTCAAAAAAAGAGAAGTCCCAGGAGTACACTTCCTCATCCTTTCCGTTCTTCACCGTTCCTCTCTTCCCCAAATGTACGTTGCTTAGTCAGTCGGCAAGGGATCTATGCCATTTAGTCCTTATATCCACCTATCTTAGCCCCCCTGCTCTGCCTCGAACGAAACCCACCACATACCACCCCCACTTCCACCTCCCACATTCGAACTGCCGCCGCAGGACAGCCCTACCTACCGTCGAGAGAAAAATTTTTTGCGGCTTGTGTATGAGACGAGCCGAGCTGAACCGAGTTTTTGTAATTGCCCCTTCTACACTGTCCTGGCCCCAGCTGTGCTTCCTACTACCAACCAACATACCCAGTGGGCGGTGGTGGTAGGCGGAGATCTGAGCGGGTTGTCCAGGAGTATTTTTCGGTGCGGAAGTGTTATCACTTCCTTTTCAGTGGCATCCAGTTGTGAAGGCACAGACGATTGTGGGCAGAGGTGGTCAGTGACAGGTTCGTTTGTGGACTTCCGAATTTTTTGTGCATTTCTCCATTATCTCATTGTTCAGCTGGGATGAGCAACGAGGGGTGGTGGTGGAACGAAAGTGCGCTACCGCCGCCATCAATGCGGCAACAATTCGTGGCAAATCCGTTGCGACGTTTCTCGCCCTCACCAAACGCACAACGACGCTTCCCGGTCAAGCAGACCAACCGCCGCACCGTTGCGAGTCAGTCGAAGCAAGAGGACAGCGCTGATTTTCGGACGAGAAGCAGGAGTGAAGTGGGAACAGTGGCTGATCTGGAGAAGCGTCTCGACAGACTTCGAGCCTCATGTAAGCGCATAGACTTAGCACCTCATGTAGCCACGCGCCTCGTTCTGAATCGAAATTGGTAGTTACATTACGTCAGTGGGATTGCTTTTAAGGATACCAAATTGCGGAAAGAAACTGACAAAACTAGCCGGCGAGACTTCTTAAATTTCTTGCTTGAAGAGTGCTTGTTTGGGCACTCCACGCCTCGCTGTTGCGATTTTCGTTTGCACATTCTTTTTCTTTTAATGCGATCAGTTTTGGAGAGTTTTTCGATGTGTTTATCCGCTTATTTCGGTTCCCGGGATCAATGAGGCTAAAATCTTGGTAACTTATTATGCGTGGTTTCCTCAGACACAAAAAGGATATCCGCGTCCTCTGTATATATACTAACAGATCAGTTCCGGTGATGAAATATTACGGAGATATTTTTTGTCCGTATGTTGCTCCACAATTACAAATTGAGCTCCCGTGTGCATTGCACTTGCATAAATTAAAATTTAATTTGCAAAACTATGAGTATCCTTTCTTCCGAGGAAACCAGACGGGCTGGGAAGTCAAAAATTTACGAGGAGGATGTTGCCTCTGTACACGCGACACTATGAATGTGAAGCAGCATTCATTTTCGTCCATCTCTTGCACAGAACGGTTTTTTGCTGAAGACGTGAAAGAAAACACTGGCAAAAGTATTTCCCACGTGGGTGCATGTGAAGTAATGAAAAATTCTTGTGCTTTCGGCTACCTTACTGTTGCACGAAATTGCAAATTCGCTAATTAGGAGTCCGGACGTTTTGTCTTTTGCTGCAGATAGGGAATCGAAGCACTTTTGTAACTTGATGGCATTATGCATAGGTGTGCCTGTTATGGCCTCCCTTGGCCTTTGAGATTTCACTGTTATCAAAGCACGGTTGAGGCCAGTAGGTAAGAAATGAT